TCTGTCGTCCCAACCTGCCTCATTTCACGAGCCTGTCTCATTTTTCCTGCCTGCCTCACTACCCAAGCCTGCGTCATCTTGCGATCCTGCTTCATTCTTGCGGCCCGGTTCAATCACTATCCCCTGACTCATAATACTGGAGGATGAGGCAGGGATGAGCCCTGCCTCATCTTCCATTCTTCATTATCACTTTCCAGAGCCTCCCTCATCCCCCAGCCTCCCTCACCATCATCCCAGCCTCCCTCATCCCCCAGCCTCCCTCACCATCATCCCAGCCTCCCTCATCCTCCAGCCAGCATCATCCTTCCCTTGAACATATCATTTCAGCCTCCATCTTCTTTCTAATATGCTTCATCCTTATTCACTGTTCCAGCCTGCCTCATCCTTCTTCACTGTTCCAGCCTGCCTCATCCTTCTTCACTGTTCTAGCCTGCCTCATCCTTCTTCACTGTTCTAGCCTGCCTCATCCTTCTTCACTGTTCCAGCCTGCCTCATCCTTCTTCACTGTTCCAGCCTGCCTCATCTTTCTTCACTGTTCCAGCCTGCCTCATCCTTCTTCACTGTTCCAGCCTGCCTCATCCTTCTTCACTGTTCCAGCCTGCCTCATCTTTCTTCACTGTTCCAGCCTGCCTCATCCTTCTTCACTGTTCCAGCCTGCCTCATCCTTCTTCACTGTTCCAGCCTGCCTCATCCTTCTTCACTGTTCTAGCCTGCCTCATCCTTCTTCACTGTTCCAGCCTGCCTCATCCTTCTTCACTGTTCCAGCCTGCCTCATCCTTCTTCACTGTTCCAGCCTGCCTCATCTTTCTTCACTGTTCCAGCCTGCCTCATCCTTCTTCACTGTTCCAGCCTGCCTCATCTTTCTTCACTGTTCCAGCCTGCCTCATCCTTCTTCACTGTTCCAGCCTGCCTCATCTTTCTTCACTGTTCCAGAGTACCTCATCCTTCTTCACTGTTCCAGCCTGCCTCATCCTTCTTCACTGTTCCAGGCTGCCTCATCCTTCTTCACTGTTCCAGCCTGCCTCATCCTTCTTCACTGTTCCAGCCTGCCTCATCCTTCTTCACTGTTCCAGCCTGCCTCATCCTTCTTCACTGTTCCAGCCTGCCTCATCCTTCTTCACTGTTCCAGCCTGCCTCATCCTTCTTCACTGTTCCAGCCTGCCTCATCGTCCTCCTCAGGTTCATTCACACACATTGCACTACAGAAGATTTGAAGTGCTCGTGTTCTGAAGTCCGAAAGTTAATGACTTCAGGGTTCGGGGTGCCCTAGAGTGCACTAGGTGCCCTGCAATGCCCCGAGAATGATAATTGGTGTCTTATCTAGGAAGCAACTAATTATCCAAACAAAGCACCAAGCCTGACAGTCTGTTTAGCACCGTGTAACAGAATGTTACGATATTATTGGCTATCATTCAGGATTCCAAATCGACAGGTAGGAGGACAGCAAGAAGACGTTTGGCCAGGACAAACAACGGACAAGCTAGTACCGGTAGCAGCCTTCGGACCATTCGTAAACAGAGCAACGAAAATGTTTAAGGAAAATTGTATTTCATTGCTGGGAGGGTACAAGCCTTTACCGTAATGGTTAGGGATTAACCAAATTAAACAAGCGGGACCCCTCCAGGGGGATGAGACAGACATAATACATGGAGATACATTGTAAACGCACACAAAGAGAGTGAAGCCTGCAAGCAGACAATCTGCACGGTAAAGGGCTACAAAATAGTGAGCGTGGCTTTCTGTAGGGAGAGTTGTCAAGGTGGGATGCAAGCACGACATGTGGCTTTGTAGGGACCGCGCAGAGCATCACGGGCACTTCCAATATCGGCGGTCTTGTAACGACGGAACACCGGTTTCTACACAATACACACAGAAATCACAATAGCGTGATGCATCAAATGAACAACTCCTTACGGGGCGTGATGAGGGTTCGAACCTACGTCCGAGAGGATCCCAGGAGTACAACCTATGTCATACAAGTAGTAAAAGTGAAGGAGCGTTCGCCACTCGGCTCCTCCCTAAAGAGGTACGCTACAAGACTCTGCATAAGATAAGGATATAAAGGATTTAACTCGTAGATAATGGATATAGCACAACCTAGACTGGCCGTCTAGGACCTGAACCCTTAAGAGTTTCGCAATATCCGTATTTACGAAACTTTTGGGGTTGATCTTGTAGGGTTTAAGATTTGCCTTCCATAGAGTGTCATGGGTTTGCCATGGAACGCCATGCTGTTTAGAAAGCCAGAGCGCAAGGTTTCGTAGCTGAGAGCTAAGAGCCGTGCCTGGTAGCTCAGGACGGCACACTATCGATCGGCAGCTGGTGGTGAATAAAGGAGAAATCGTTACCGCAACCACAGATGGTGAGGGCGTCCACATGGAGCCCCGAATAAACCCCGTCAAGAGCAACCAGGAAGAGAAAAGTGCTCAAAACACTGCCCTGGCAAACACCTTACTTCTGACGATAAGATGGAGAGAGAGAGAGTGAGAGAGAGAGAGAAGGTCCACGACATGCCTTAAACGCACATCCCGAGAGTAAGCTTAGTAGGATGAACGGCAAATTGCCTCGAAGGCCAAAATAGTCCATCTGGGCTAATATGTTACATCTCTAAGTAATTTTTTTTTGTTTAGCATTATTTTCTACAACAGACGTGGCCAAGGTGAGGTGCACCGCTATTTCGAGTTTCTCAATGGAAAGAACTACTTCCTCCTCTCCACCTACCAAATATTATAAATATTGAACAAATACTCCAAGATGCATGGGGGGAAAAAAAGGCATATGAACGCCATTTGCGGCCGCCTCCGAACACTGACTAGGGCTAAGTTCTGCAAGACTAAGGAAATGGTTGTAGGAAGACCGCAGATGCCCGCACAAGTCCAAAAGGTAAGACTGATCACGGGGCTTGCAGGTAAGAAAGTCTGGAGTGAGGTGAGAAGCCAGGTTAATGACCATGAAATGCGGACGTGTTCGTTCGCGACCACTACAGGCTCACCAGGAGCAGAACCTCTAAGATGAATGATGGCCGCTGTATCGCGACCAATTTTACCAGCAGACTTGCGAATCCTCTTCCAGATATTGGGAAGACGGGTGTGTTTAACTAGGGAGTGTACTGGGTGTTATATCAGAGCAGTGGGTGTTGTATCAGTGTGTGTACTGGGTGTTATATCAGAGTAGTGGGTGTTGTATCAGAGTAGTGGGTGTTGTATCAGAGTAGTGGGTGTTGTATCAGAGTAGTGGGTGTTGTATCAGAGTAGTGGGTGTTGTATCAGTGTGTGTACTGGGTGTTATATCAGAGTAGTGGATGTTGTATCAGAGTAGTGGGTGTTGTATCAGTGTGTGTACTGGGTGTTGTATCAGTGTGTGTACTGGGTGTTGTATCAGTGTGTGTACTGGGTGTTATATTAGTGAGTGTACTGGACGTCGCATCATCCCCATACCAGTTACTATACCTTGTGTCCAAATAATCAAACACTTGTCACTGGCCGCTGAGAACTTGTCCCTGGCCGCTGAGAACCTGTCCCTGGCCGCTGAGAACTTGTCCCTGGCCGCTGAGAACTTGTCCCTGGCCGCTGAAAGCTTGTCCCTGGCCGCTGAGAACTTGTCCCTGGCCGCTGAAAACTTGTCCCTGGCCGCTGAGAACCTGTCCCTGGCCGCTGAAAGCTTGTCCCTGGCCGCTGAGAACTTGTCCCTGGCCGCTGAGAACCTGTCCCTGGCCGCTGAGAACCTGTCCCTGGCCGCTGAGAACCTGTCCCTGGCCGCTGAGAACCTGTCCCTGGCCGCTGAAAGCTTGTCCCTGGCCGCTGAGAACCTGTCCCTGGCCGCTGAGAACCTGTCCCTGGCCGCTGAGAACCTGTCCCTGGCCGCTGAGAACCTGTCCCTGGCCGCTGAGAACCTGTCCCTGGCCGCTGAGAACCTGTCCCTGGCCGCTGAGAACCTGTCCCTGGCCGCTGAGAACCTGTCCCTGGCCGCTAAGAACTCGGGTAAGAAGAACTAATGAAGACTACCTTTCGGCTTTATCCTCCTCGTTTTAAAGTTAATTAATTTTGCGTTGACATATGCATCATTGAAGCGACATACGAAGCTCTTAAGGCAGCTTCCCGGAAGCCTTTCCCGCGTGTGAGTGTGACAGCTCTCGTCTCAAGATGAGAAATACAAAAAAAAAAAAGAGTTCTTCCATCTTTTTCCCGGTGTACATAAGAGTTAATTAGGGCATTCAAAAGACTTAAACCCTGACACAATGCTTGTAGCCGGCGTTGGAAGAGGGAGTTCGTAGAAGGGACGAAAGAGAAATGTAGAGAAAATGAGGGGAAAGTGAGGGGTGGAGTGAGGTAACGGTAGCTGAGGGGGGCGGAAGGTGACATTCATATTCAAGGTTCATTTTGGGGTGAGGAAGATGAGGCATAATAAGGGGAGGGGGGGCAGGTAAATGTTGAGAAGCTGCATTATTCCGCCCTCATGTGCCTATATTAAAAATCCCAGGGGTCAGGGTCCTCGGTTTGGGAACTTTATCGACCGAGGCGCTCTCTCTCTGTCTGTCTGTCTCTCTCGCTCTCTCTCGCTCTCATTCTCTCTCGCTCTCGCTCTCTCTCGCTCTCGTTCTCTCTCGCTCTCTCTTTCCCATGTGTTTATATTCTCTTGTGTCCGTGTTTATATTGTTCTCTTCATTTGGTTAGCAAGACAATGTAAGCAGATCTGGAAGTTCCTCTTTGCTTATCACGGACGCTGTTTCTCTCTTTTGTGCGTGACAAAAAAAAAAAAAGAGGATTTTGTCTTTTATTCGCTCCTTTCATCCGGCCAGCAATTCTCTTCCCCTCTCACTCTGCTATTTTTATTGCCTTCTCCCTCTCTATTTTTCTTAACACATTTCCTACGTTCCCTCCCTCCCCTCTTCCCACAAATTTCTTAATCTTCCTATCCTTCCCCCACTCCCCCATGCCTCCCCCACTCCCCCCATGCCTCCCCCACTCCCCCCACGCCTCCCCCTCTCCCACACTCCTCACCTGAGGTGGTTCCTGGGGACGTTGTGGACGTCGTTGAAGACCAGCTTGAGTCTGAGCATGTCAGAGTGGAGGTCGGGTTCGAGGGCCCAGGCCTGCTTGTCTCTGTCGTAACAGAGGACGGAGGCGGGGGTGTTGTGGGGGAGGGGCTGGAGCCGCACCTCGCTGGTCGTGTTGGCCAGGATCATCTCCAGGTACAGCCTCAGCACGCCCTTGTGCACGAGGTCGTGCAGGCGCGTGCGCGCCGGCGTCCACCCGGGCGTGCGTCCCTCATGGTCGCTCAGCTGATCCAAGATGCCGGAGTCGGCGCGGCGCTCCGCCTCGCCGATGACCATGAGGTACCGCACGCGGCACTGGTGGTCGAACCCCGTCAGGCGCCGCAGCTGCACCGTCGGGCGGCCCTCCATGCCCGAGGACGAGGTCACGGACACGTGCCAGTCGTAGTGCCCGAAGTGGAAGTACGGAGACTCGTACTTCTTGTCCTTGCGGCTGGCGACGCCACCGTTGATGGGCGGCGGCACCCGCAGCTCAGCCTCGAACACCGTCCTGATGTTCGACACCGTCAGCTCCAGCTGGAACTCGCCGTTCTCGTCGGTGAAGTTGCGGGAGTAGAGGTCCTCCATGTTGATGAGGCGACGGTTGCCCTGCGCGGGGGAGTCGAAGGTAAACTTGACCTGCTTGCCGGTGAAGGCCTCGTTCACGCTGAAGTGTTCGCGGTTCAGCAGCGTGAAGGTAAAGTCGATGTAAACCCGCATGCCCTCGCAGGGGTTGCGCCACACCAGGTAAACCCCGAGAACCTTCTCTGACCGCGAGAAGGTGATGGCCCATCGCTGGTAGCCGTAAGTCAGCTCCTTGCTGGTCACGTCGCGGTGCAGGTCGCGCGTCACGCTGCGCGTCACCACGAAGGAGAACACGTGCGTGTTGCCCCGGTCGTTCAGCTTCACGAAGCGGTGGAGCAGCGCCATCACGCTTCACAACCTGCAACGAGACACAACACTTGTTACTGGCCGTCCGGCGAGACCACGTGACCCTTCACAACCCTAATATCCGGACGAGGACAAACCTCTCAAGCGGACAAAGATGTGCAATGACCGGTTACCGAGAGAGAGAAAAGTGAACATCAGGGCACAGTAACCAGTGATGAAGGGGGGACAATAGTATTAAAATAAATAGTAGGTATCACCAGGAGAAGGAACACCAATCGAATCGTGTTCCTTTTTCGAATGGATCGAAAAACATCGCAAATTACGCAAATATTAGCATTAGTGCAATAATTACATCTGAATAAAATAAAAAGCTGGTAAAGGACATCCAAATATTATTATGGAGACAGGTCTAGGCTACACCAGCTCACGATATGAGCCCCTCCCCACACACGGTATATATAGAGTGAATCTCGCCTACCAAATATTCGAGTAAATGTAACGTACACCCAAATGTCTTTACACACACACACACACACACACACACACACACACACACACACACACACACACACACACACACACACACACACACACACACACAGGCTGAGCAGACAGCACGCTGGACGCGTGATCCTGTGGTCCCGGGTTCGATTCTGGGCGCCGGCGATAAACAATGGGCAGAGTTTCTTTCACCCTAATGCCCTTATTACCTAGCAGTAAATAGGTACCTGGGAGTTAGTCAGCTGTCACGGGCTGCTTCTTGGGATGTGTGGCGTGGAAAAAAATAGTAGGTAGTAGCAGTTGAGAGGCGGGCCGAAAGAGCAGAGCTCAACCCCCGCAAGCACAACTAGGTGAATAAACACCACACACACACACACACACACACACACACACAAACTCAAATTTCACCTAGTGGTGAAAATACTGGAAACGCTAAGGTACATGGAGCCCTCTGGCTGTCTGGGTTCGAATCCTAGGAGGGGGGGTGTGGAGTTTTCTATTATATATTGTATTATTATAACTAGTCACGGAGTGAAAAGACACTTGTTTACACTTGAACGATTCTTCGCGGCAGGGGATCGTATTCCAGGGACCATAGGATTAAGGACCTGCCCGAAACGCTACGCGTACTAGTGGCTGTACAAGAATGTAACAACTCTTGTATATATCTCAAAAAAAAAAAAAAAAAAAAAAAAAAAAAAAAAAAACTTAATCACACACATGCTGTAGGTGTACATATCACACATATATACACCTACAGCATATACAAGAATAATACAATGCATACCCGAGCAATACAACATGCACTAGATCATAATCGCTGATTATTGGTTATTATCATCAAGATTTCCGAAGACTAATTAAACTTTAATTTAATTACAGTTAAATTAGTCTTCGGAAATCTTGATGATAATGATCAATGATCAGTGAATTTGTTCTAGTGTATTGTTCTTGTTCATGTTGTAATGTTCTTTTTCAGGCTGTATTGATCTTGTTCAGGCTGTATTTTTATTCATGCTGTGTTGTTCCACTACATGTATTGTTTATGTTGTATGCATCTGGTACATGTTGTATTTTGTTTATGTGTAATTGTTTATACAATATTTTAATAGTGACATGTATACCATTATGGACTTTATTACAAGAAGAAAGTTTAAGATCCAGATTGATTAACTTTGCAATAATTTAGTCATAAAAACTGTGAACTTCAGTTGTAACTTTTCGGGGGCAGCTGCTGCCAGCCTGCTTCTAAGTCCCCACTTGCCTCCTCGCCACCGGCCTGCCACTGGCCTGCCACCAGCCTGCCACCAGCCTGCCACCGGCCCGCCACCGGCCTGCCACTGGCCTGCCACCGGCCTGCGACCGGCCTGCCACCGGCCTGCCACCGGCCTGCCACCGGCCTGCCACCAGCCTGCCACCAGCCTGCCACTAGCCTGCCACTGGCCTGCCAGCAGCCTGCCACTTGCCTGCCAGCAGCCTGCCACCGTCCTGCCACCGTCCTGCCACCGGCCTGCCACCAGCCTGCCACCAGCTTACCACCAGCCTGCCACCAGCCTGCCACCGCCTGCCACTGGCCTGCCACTGTCCTGCCACCCGCCTGCCACTGGCCTGCCACCAGGTTGCCACTGGCCTGCCATATGCTTGCCACTGCCACCAGCCTGCCACTGGCCTGCTACCAGCCTGCCACTGGCCTGCTACCAGCCTGCCACTGGCCTGCCAGCAGCCTGCCACTGGCCTGCCAGCAGCCTGCCACCGGCCTGCCACCAGCCTGCCACCGGCCTGCCACCAGCCTGCCACCAGCTTACCACCAGCCTGCCACCAACCTGCCACCGCCTGCCACTGGCCTGCCACCGTCCTGCCACCCGCCTGCCACTGGCCTGCCACCGGCCTGCCACCAGGTTGCCACTGGCCTGCCATCTGCTTGCCACTGCCACCAGCCTGCCACTGGCCTGCCACAAGCCTGCCACCGTCCTGCCACCAGCCTGCCACTGGCCTGCTACCATCCTGCCACCGGCCTGCCACTGATCTGCCACCAGCCTGCCACCAGCCTGCCACTGGCCAGCCACCGGCCTGCCACCGGCCAGCCACCGGCCTGCCACCGGCCTGCCACCGGGCTGCCACCGTCCTGCCACCAGCCTGCCACAAGCCTGCCACCGTCCTGCCACCAGCCTGCCACTGGCCTGCCAAGAGGTCAACACCACGCGCTGTCGTCCTCTAATGAGCATCATTAATAGAGCCAAAGTCATCAGTAAGACGATCTGTCTTTGATGAGACACCTTCAAGCTGAAGAATATGGTGGAAAGGATGGACAAAGAATGAACTAGTTTCCTGTAAACTACAGCAGTGACACGAATCAAACCGTGGTTTGATTCGTGAATCGGGTCGTGACCCGATTCTCTAAACACAGTAACGTTCAAGCATTCAAAGCAGTTGTGAAATGGCGTAATTTTATTTAGTGAATTTTTTTTTCACTAAATGTGCAGTGAAACTAGGTGCCATGTGTTTCATTTGCAGTGCTTAGAATAATGTTATTTGTTGTGTTGATGATCTTGGTTCTATTTTTTGTAATAAATGTCTCCTTTCTCATTGTAAACAAAATGTTTCTTGAAGCCAAAAGGTAAAGTTTGATTTAGACGGCTGGACACCTGTTTAGATCAGCCGGTTTTGTAACGGCTTGTATCAGTTGTTACGGAAATTGTTTCTAATTCTGTATCTGACAACTGTAATATTAAAGTCTTTGATAAATGTGACTTCAAAATTTTAATCTAATTCTCGTGTATACAGTTTATAACTACAGATATGTTATGATGATTAGTTTTTGTTAAGTAAATAATTTACTGTGAATGTGTGTGAACTAACTCACCTATAAATGAAGAAAAGAATCACTTATGAATAACTGTCTCTTTACATATTAACACCCACTAAAGGTGAGATGAAAAACGTATTGAATTATGTTGTGACGAACACTTCATCTCACGTTCAGTCGTAGCAAATGGGCAAGATTTGTGTTTAACTTATTTTACCATGGGTCCCAAGGTCTCCGTCCATGGGCCCCGGGGACCACCACCATGGGCCCCGGGGACCACCACCATGGGCCCTGGGGACCACCACCATGGGCCCCTGGGGACCACCACCATGGGCCCCCAGGGACCACCACCATGGGCCCCCAGGGACCACCACCATGGGCCTCCCAGGGACCACCACCATGGGCCCCCAGGGACCACCACCATGGGCCTTCAGGGACCACCACCATAGGCCCCCAGGGACCACCACCATGGGCCTCCCAGGGACCACCACCATGGGCCTCCCAGGGACCACCACCATGGGCCCCCAGGGACCACCACCATGGGCCTCCCAGGGACCACCACCATGGGCCCCCAGGGACCACCACCATGGGCCCCCAGGGACCACCACCATGGGCCCCCAGGGACCACCACCATGGGCCCCCAGGGACCACCACCATGGGCCCCCAGGGACCACCACCATGGGCCCCCAGGGACCACCACCATGGGCCCCCAGGGACCACCACCATGGGCCCCCAGGGACCACCACCATGGGCCCCCAGGGACCACCACCATGGGCTCCAACATTACCTCCAGCAAAACAGTTCAAGTCCCTATCATTACAAAGGACAAATTGAGATATGACCGGAACATAGTTACACAATTAACTAATTAAACATAATTGACAATCACAATTAGACAAAAATAATTATATTTACCAATTTGGCACTTACATGAAGTGTTGGTTATTGAGTACAAGCTGTACATATATATCAATTAAATTGATGTTGTCGAGCCTTATATATATATATATATATATATATATATATATATATATATATATATATATATATATATATATATATATATATATATATACTGATAGGTCTGTATACACACTTTAACACCAAGACATCAACTTATCCCAATGATCCGATGGAAACACTCATAACAGATGGATTAGTTTATTTAATTTCCATAGTACGGACCTCTCGGCTTAGTTCAGAATTCCTCATATGTTTCTGATAAATTAGCACTGAAGGGTGAGCTTTCTCTGCCTTCATCGACGACTATAAATCAGTCTGAAAATTACATTTTATTTAGTAACTTTTGCCATTAGTAGAGAGTTGAGTTGTTGCTCAACGTTGTTCAATTAAATTCACTGATGTATCTTGTTATTTATTTAATTTAATGTGAATCTAAATACAATTAGTTCCTCAATAATACCAATATGTGAACGATTGTAATAAGGGGAAAAAATCAACTGATTTCGAAAATGTCAAAACTGTGTGTGCAAATTGGGGGAAGTGAGGACCCCCAAATTCGACTGATGGGTCTGTAATCTGACCACAGACATTTGAAGTCAATAATAAAATACCTTGGCTGTAACAGCCCTACACAGCTTTTGTATAATACACACAGTACAAATTTCTTTTCCCACTTAAAAATATAAATTAAATCCAGTCTACGCCTAACCCCAGACTTCACGAATGGAGGGAAAAGGAGGGGGGGGGGGAACGGAGAGAAAGAAGGGAGCTAGGGAAAGAGGAAGAGAA